GGGGGTGATTTCTCGCTTTCTGTCTCTATGTCTCTCTCTGTCTGTCTGGCGAGCGCACGCGCCCTACAGTGAAAATCTCTCCAAAAAAAAAAAAAAAAGAAAAGAAAATTGAAAAACAAACACACAAAAAAAAATTCTGGGAAGAAAGGGACACAGACTATATTGACTATGCCATGTCATAACCAGGCAGGGGAGACAGATTTGAAAATTGGCTGTGTCAGCTCCCTCTACGTGAACCTTGGGTAGTAACATAAACTGGCTCCGGAAGTAAAACAACGAACTGATCATCGAATGGCTATAGAGACAGACTAGGCTCTGAGAGTGAGCGGTCCTTTCTGAGCCACGACTTACCTGCAGAGGCTGGCACTGGTACAGAAACCGGGCTCCGGACACATGTGCCTGTGGGTTGGACTGGAGGCCTATATAAGCCCACAACACCTGGACCTCCAGGGCCACTGGTATCACACAGCAGGAGGTACAATTCACAGCCTGCAGAGGGTAAAGAAGAATCTGTTAGTACTGCCTGGTGGCTGCCTGGAGTCAGGCACCACATATAAAGTAGCCTTTTTTTTTTTGGAGAGGTTTTTGCTATGGGGTGCGTGTGCTCGCCAGAAGGACAGAGAGAGACAGAGACAGAAGGTGAGAAATCACCTCCCAGGGAGGATGGCCACACCGCAATCGCTTCTCTTCCATTCTCCTCTTTGGATCTTGGGCACGCACGCACACGCGCCCAGGATGAGTTCAAGCCGCCGGGTCCGGGACTCGAGTTGCGGTCGACTACGTGGGAGTCCAGTGACATAGCCACTATGCTAACTGCTGGTCCCAAGTAGCCATTGTTTCTTAAGCATTATTTAGTAACAGAAGGCAATGTGACTTAGGGGAAGAATTCCAAGCTCACAATGGACCACATTACTATTCTTTTTTAAAATACAAATGTATTTCATGAGAGAGAGCACCCTAGCACCTCCAACAGGGTCTCGATGCTGGGATCACACTGAGGCTGAGCCAGCCCTGGATCACAGGCACGTATGTGCCCAGCAGTCGGGGAAGCTCTGCACTCCAACCCAGAGTCCTCCCAGGAGGGTCTCCCTTGCAGAGTGGCGTGTTTTACCACTGCTCTGTGGAACTGGGTAAGTAACAGGAGTGAAAGAAACGGAGATGAAAGGCAAATCTGAGCAGAGAAATGCATATGAAAAAGTGCACAACCAGAACTGTACATGATACCACGGAGGGACGCTGACTGGTTTGAACAACGGCTACCGAGTATCTTCCATGTGCCAGGCTCATGAGAGGCACTGGCTCTGAGCAGACCACTTGGCTCCAGTAAAGGATCTGCACCTAGGAGCAGTGAAAGGTTAAAGAAACTTTAGGATTAGATTACAAATCCATCCAAGTAGTCTGTTCTAAAGCTTCAGGGAGCTACAAAAGTTTCTGGAATAGACACATGGAGTACTGGACCAGCAGTTGGTGTAATGGCTGTCGCTGGACGCCCACGTAGTTGGCCGCAGTTCAAATCTCAGACCTGGTGGCTTAAACTCACACCAGGCACGTGTGTGTGCATGTGTGCCCAAGATCCCGAGAGGAGAATGGAGGAGAAAGGATTACAGCATGGCCATTCCCTCTAGGGGGGTGATTTCTCGCTTTCTGTCTCTCTGTCTTTTTGGTGAGTGCACGTGCCCTGTAGCAAAAAACATTCAAAGAAAGAAAGAAAGAAACAAACAAACAAACGGGATGCTTAAAGCAGGAAGCGCATACCATATTACATAATTTCAACTTTTTTTTTTAAGAATTATTTTATTTTACTTTATCTCTTTTAATTTGACCAGAGAGAGAGAGAGAGAAAAAGTGAGAGAAAAAGCTGCCAGGTTCAGGACTCAAACCCTGGTTAGCCATGTGGGAGACCAGCACCTTTAACCAGCACAGTGTATTTTGGATGGAAAATTCATATGTGTGTTGTGATGAGAAAAAAAAAAATTTATAATAAAAAAAAAAAAAGAAATGTACATAACAACAGGAAGAGCACAATTTCAGCCTCAGGAAAGAATTTGTGCTTCAAGAATATGAGAGAATATTTTAGATAAACAGTATGATTTTGAACCACACTTTCTAAATTGTCTATCTCCAAATTTTTTTCTAAATAAAGTAAGTTAGGTGTAAACCTAACCTGGGGCTAGCAGGTGGCATGGTGGTTAAGGGTGCTGGACTCCCACATGGCCAACTGTGGTTGAAGTCCCAGACCTGGTGGCTTGCTTTCTTACTCTCCCCACCACTCTGTCCCTCTTTGGTCAAATTAAAATAAATAAATTAATTAAATAATTCTTAAAATAAGAATCCTAACCTAATACAATGACTTTGAATGGGCATGATTTCTGACTGTTCCTGCTATGACTGACATCACTGGTTTCCACTTTACGACCCATAATCTACAATGGGGGACACGAGTCCTTGTCGGAAAGTCTGTTTCCTTCCTTACCGAAACGCTGCAGCTCCTGCTGAGGATCCGGGTCCACCCTCCTTTCTGAGCTGGGGCAGCATTACCAAAGATAGCGACATGCTCTGGTCTGGGCCTGCCATGGAGATGCTGATAAATCTCCTGCTGCAGGTGGCTGCAGTTGGCCTTCTTCAACCTGAAATTAAGAACCACACAGGCTGGAGTTTAAAGTTAACATAACCATGTTAGTACTTGATCCAAACATTAGAAATGATATTAAAGAAGAGAATGAAGGGAATAATCCTTAGCAGGTATTAAGGAATGTCAGAAAACTTAGCAAGTCAATGTTACTTGGATTGTAAGTTTCTTCCTCACCAGCATTCCCAACTTTCATTGAAATTGTTACCAAATTGGGGACCAGCAGTTAGCGTAATAGCTATGTAGCTGGACTCCCACATAGTCGACCGCGGTTCGAGTCCCAGACCCGGCGGCTTAAACTCACGCTGGGTGCGTGTGCGTGCGTACCCAAGATCCCGAGAGGAGAACAGAGGAGAAGGGATTGCGGCATGACCACCCCCCGGGGTGGGATTTCTCAATTTCTGTCTCTATGTCTCTCTCTGTCTGGCTGGCGAGTGCACGCACCCTATAGCAAAAACCTCTCCAAAAAAAAAAAAGAAAAAAAAAGGAAAATGTTACCAAGTTAAGATATTCCTTGTAAACAAAGATCAAACTGTGGGAAATGATGCCAAGAAAATGTTACCAAGTTAACATATTCCTTGTAAACAGAGATCAAACTGTGGGAAATGATGTAGAAGCAAATACTTACCTGAGCTTGCACCCAGAAACTGCATTCACTCCAAACAGTACTTCCCGTCTCTCTGGAGAGCAAATTCCATTTCCCAGACTCTGCAGGAGGGTCATCTGAGGTGGAAAGGGGATGGTCAAGGACACAAAAGTAGACAGAGTTGGAGATTTACACTCTCATCGTTCCCTTGTCCCTATCTATATTTTAATATCATAATATTGTTCAAATCGTAAATTTGGTTTTCCTTTTAGTAATTAAAAACATAGAAATGGAGCCGGCAAGTGGCGTGGTGGTTAAGGGTGCTGGATTCCCACATGGCCGACTGCAGTTTGAGTCCCAGACCTGGTAGCTGGCTTTCTCACTTTCCCTTTCTCTCTCTCTCTGGTCAAATTAAAAAATAACAACAACAACAAATGGAATTAAATAAATAAATATTTAAAAAAAAGAGAGAGACAATTACCATTTTTCCAAACATGGTTAGCCACTAGTATCTAGGCATAATATTGCATCAACACAGACAAAAATCTGTCCAATCCTCACTTTTGGCCAGTCTAACTTAAGTTTCAAACGGTTGGTGTCATCGACATTTGAGAACGTAATGTATTAATAGCTTGGTAGAAACAGTGGAGAGGGCCAGCAGGTGGTGTGGAGATTAAGGCAGCTGGATCCCACTGGCCGACTGCAAGGTTCGAGTCCCAGACTGGTGGCTTGAACATCACACCGGGTGTCGTGTGGTTGCCCGAAAGCCCAAGGAGAATGGAGGAGAAGGGACTATGGTGTGGTCATACCCCTGGGGAGTGATTTCTCACATTCCCTCCCTCTCTCCCCCTCCGTCTCTCTCCGGTAAGTGCATGTGCCCTATAGCAAACTAAAAAAGCAAACAAACGACAACAACAAAACAGTGGTAAATACATCAATAATGTGGGAAGCCCCAGAGTTGAACGGTGCAAAAGATCCGTTGCTGTAGCTTTTCTTAATAGGCTGCATCAGGTCTTCCTTCTTCAAAAAGGATACAGAGTGACTTCTATCACCACTTAGAGCCAGGAGTGGCTTCCCAAAAATGTAGCCGGGATTCCCACTTCTAGGACCAGTAAGAGAAGCAGCTGTGCTCTGTCCGAATGCCTGCAGAAAGCACCAAGAAAATCAGCCATGGAAAGAGCACACCTTTCCCCCTTCCACCGCGTGGCTTTGTTTCCTTCTCTAGGACGTACAACAAGCTGCGATGAGCAATAGGGCTTGTCCACAGCACAGCATTTCTAGTCTATTTCTTTTCTTTTTTATTTTTAACTCACTAAAAATCCTAAGTAACGTGAATACTGAGATTTATCCTTTACCAAGGAGTACAATCTAGAATCCCTTAAAACTACTGTTAAAAAAAAAAAAAAAATTACTACCAGGGCCAGCAGGTGGAATGGTGGTTAAGGCACTAGATTCCTACACGGCTGATGACAGTTTGAGGTCTGGACCTGGCAACTTGAAGATGATGCCAGGGATATAAGTGGCATGCCTAGAACCTCAGAAGGAGAAGGGAGGGAAGGGACTGTGGAATGGCCATCCTCCCAGAAGGTGAGTTCTCACTTTCCCTCTGTTTGTCTCTCTCTCCAGAAAAAGCACACACTGTATGGCAAAAACCTAAAAAGAGAAAACTACTATCAATTTAGGGCTATGTTCATCTTGGTTGAAACGAGAGGGATTTAAATGTCATTTTTAAAGTATACTTTAATTAGCTATTGATGCTCCAGAGATGAACTCTGATATACCTAGGACTTGGCTGATCACATAAGGGTAGACTTGAGAAGTCTGCTAAGTTCGAAAACAGAAAAGAACTAGAAAAAGCAAAAAGGTAATCAAGAATGGCGACTCAGATGAAGTAGGAAGTGAACAAAAGGCTGAGCACCCAGAAAAAAGAGAAAAGCTAACGACCTTCTGTGGGATATTGGCTGAGTTTATGATTCAAAATGATGACTTCAGTTTCTGGGGACAGAGCATCGGAGTAAATGTCAATGAGTGAACACTTGTTGAATACCTGGACGGTTGGTGTCATCGACATTTGAGAACGTAATGTATTAATAGCTTGGTAGAAATAGTGGAGAGGGCCAGCAGGTGGTGTGGAGATTAAGGCAGCTGGATCCCACTGGCCGACTGCAAGGTTCGAGTCCCAGACTGGTGGCTTGAACATCACACCGGGTGTCGTGTGGTTGCCCGAAAGCCCAAGGAGAATGGAGGAGAAGGGACTATGGTGTGGTCATACCCCTGGGGAGTGATTTCTCACATTCCCTCCCTCTCTCCCCCTCCGTCTCTCTCCGGTAAGTGCATGTGCCCTATAGCAAACTAAAAAAGCAAACAAACGACAACAACAAAACAGTGGTAAATACATCAATAATGTGGGAAGCCCCAGAGTTGAACGGTGCAAAAGATCCGTTGCTGTAGCTTTTCTTAATAGGCTGCATCAGGTCTTCCTTCTTCAAAAAGGATACAGAGTGACTTCTATCACCACTTAGAGCCAGGAGTGGCTTCCCAAAAATGTAGCCGGGATTCCCACTTCTAGGACCAGTAAGAGAAGCAGCTGTGCTCTGTCCGAATGCCTGCAGAAAGCACCAAGAAAATCAGCCATGGAAAGAGCACACCTTTCCCCCTTCCACCGCGTGGCTTTGTTTCCTTCTCTAGGACGTACAACAAGCTGCGATGAGCAATAGGGCTTGTCCACAGCACAGCATTTCTAGTCTATTTCTTTTCTTTTTTATTTTTAACTCACTAAAAATCCTAAGTAACGTGAATACTGAGATTTATCCTTTACCAAGGAGTACAATCTAGAATCCCTTAAAACTACTGTTAAAAAAAAAAAAAAATTACTACCAGGGCCAGCAGGTGGAATGGTGGTTAAGGCACTAGATTCCTACACGGTTGATGACAGTTCGAGGTCTGGACCTGGCAACTTGAAGATGATGCCAGGGATATAAGTGGCATGCCTAGAACCTCAGAAGGAGAAGGGAGGGAAGGGACTGTGGCATGGCCATCCTCCCAGAAGGTGAGTTCTCACTTTCCCTCTGTTTGTCTCTCTCTCCAGAAAAAGCACACACTGTATGGCAAAAACCTAAAAAGAGAAAACTACTATCAATTTAGGGCTATGTTCATCTTGGTTGAAACGAGAGGGATTTAAATGTCATTTTTAAAGTATACTTTAATTAGCTATTGATGCTCCAGAGATGAACTCTGACATACCTAGGACTTGGCTGATCACATAAGGGTAGACTTGAGAAGTCTGCTAAGTTCGAAAACAGAAAAGAACTAGAAAAAGCAAAAAGGTAATCAAGAATGGCGACTCAGATGAAGTAGGAAGTGAACAAAAGGCTGAGCACCCAGAAAAAAGAGAAAAGCTAACGACCTTCTGTGGGATATTGGCTGAGTTTATGATTCAAAATGATGACTTCAGTTTCTGGGGACAGAGCATCGGAGTAAATGTCAATGAGTGAACACTTGTTGAATACCTGGTACTTGCAATTGAACTATGGAATATGAAGTGTTGCCTTCATATTCATTTTATTTTGCATGTCTTACAGAAGCAGAACTATCTCTAACCCGATTGTTCCTTCCCCAGTCGATCCCCTATGGGAGAAGTTTCCTAACCCTGAAGCGAACAGTGAAGCGCTGCTGAAAGGAAGCATCTGGCTCGATGGTCAGGTTGGTTTGTCCAAAACTGACGGAGACTTTCTGGATTCCAAAAGTCCCATTGGTCTCTATCTCATAGATGACCTGAAATGCAAAAGAAATCAATTAATAAAAAATAGTTATTGGGCTGATTATGTTTAAAGGAGCTTTTTTTTTTTTTTTTTTGTCTTTGAAGGTCTTACTGTAACCTTACTGATGACAGAAACTGAAAATTAATCTTAAAAATGCCAAACACAAATACCATGAAAAGATAATGATCACTTCATAATATATCTGTATGTGAAAAGAGACTAGGTAGAGGTCGTTGAAAGGTTCATGGAAGAGGTTTCTGTTAAGAACTAAGGAAAAGGGGCCAGCAGGTGGTGTGATGGTTAACATGCTGGACTTCCATATGGCCAACCATGGTTCGAGTCCTGGACCTGGCAGCTTTCTTTCTCACTTTCCCTCTCTCTCCTCCTCTCCCTCTGGTAGGCACATGTGCCCTATAGAAAATTAAAAAATAGTTATAATAATAAATAAATAAAACTGAATAAATAATACTAAAAAAAATTAAAGAATCAAAGTAAGTTTTGAACATAGGCAGAAGAGGATGAGTAGAGCAGAGGTGAGCAGAGATGGAAGCCTGGTTTACTCGTCTCCCACACAGGCTGAGGGTGCGTAAGGGCAGCAGCTACAAGGGCTGCTTCCATGGCCTTCCGGTTAGACAGCCAGACCCTGCAGGGAGACTGCGCAGTTAGAATCCCGGTCTCGGCCACTTGAAAACTGTGCTGTGCACATGTGCCCGCGCCCCGAAACCTGAAAGGGTGAAGAAATGGAGAGGGGGGCAGTGTGACATGCCCCCGGGGAGTGCTTTCTCCTCCTCTCTCTGGGAGTGCATGTGCCCTCGGGCAAAATTAGACCAACAAAATTATCTTAGAACGAAAAGTGGCAAGCGGCTAAAGGTAATCTTAAATTTCTGAGCAGTCTTGTAAATGATGCTTTAAGATAATTCTTCCATCTTTATGGAGAGAAAAGAGGAACAGAATTTAACTGATTTTTTTTTTAAGTTTTTTTTTCAGTTTATTCTTCCATGAGAGAGAAAGCGAGTAAGAAGGGTCTTGGTGCTGTGCTGAACCAGCTTCAGCCAGCTCCACGTTAGGGCAGGCACCTGGCACTCCTAAAAGGGTCCCTGGAAGTGACCCCAGAACCCTTCCCCATGGTCAGGCTTGCAGAGCTGTGTCCTACCCCTGTGCTACTTCTGGTCGCGACTGACCTGTTTTAGACTTTGATGACACTGTCAGTATGAGGACGATACTGACCGTCAGATGATACCGTTTCAAAGACGAAAATGTGGCCAGTCAGTAAGAACCCGGAATAGATTATATGTAGGCGAAAGAAGAGTCAGAAATGATTTTAATGTTCTGAACCTGAAATATGAAAGGATGGTGGCAATAGAAATGGCTGAAATATAGTAGGAAGGAGTTAATGTGTCTACTATTGACACGTTAAATTTCAGGTCGTGCACAAAAACTCAGGTGGGGTCAGCCTGCCACTTCATGGAAGACGCAGCACCTCTAGCAAGGATGAAGATCTGTCTGTCTAGAATCTGAGCTCAGCATCCTTACCTGGGAAACAACATTCTGACAGGTGTTCCCAGCCAACAAAGGAGGACCGGCTTGTGACACAAGTGTCACAGGAACCTGGAACTAGCAAGGCAAAGAAGCAAATCAACGAAAAATGAAGGCTGCATTTTCTCTTCCAGATATATCATGCTAAAATCAGTATTTTTCAAGGTTGGCAGGTGGCATGGTGATTAAGGCACTGGACTCCCATATGGCCAATGGTGGCTTAAGTTCTAGACCTGGTGGAGGGCTTTCTCACCCCCCGCCCCGGGTCATGTTAAAAAAAATGATAAAAATTAAAAATAAATCTTTTAGGAAAAAAAAAAAAAAATCAGTATTTTCCTTTCTTTGTAACCATCCCTTTTTTTTCTCTTCCATCGCTAGCCTACACATTAAATTCGAAAGTCATTCTATGGCTAGCCTTTGGCCAGGTGGTTAGAGGAACCAGATTCCACATGACCTACTACATGGTTCAAGTCCCAGACCTGGCAGCTTGAAGAGCACATTGGGTAGACCAGCAGGTCACATGGTGGTTAAGGTGCTGGATTCCAATATGGCTGACCGTGATTCAAGTCCTGGAGCTGGCAGCTTTCTTTCTCACTTTCCCTCTCTGACTCTCTCTGTCTCTAGTGAGTGCATGTGCCCTATAGCAAATTTAAAAATAGTAGTAATAATATTAACTAAAATTAAATAATAATTCTTTAAAAAGAAGAAGAGGGGCTGGCAGGTGGTGTGGTGGTTAAGACATGGCTAACCACAGTTCAAGTCCCAGACCTGGCACTTTGCTTTCTCACTTACTTCCTCTCTCTCTCTCTCTCCCCCTCCCTCCCTCTTAAGAAAGAAAGGAAAAGAAAAGGAAAACATATTTGTGTGTGCATGCATGCCCAACTCCCAAAGGGATGGACAGAGAAGGGATTGCAGTATGACAACACTGTGGAGGGGGATGCTTTCTCCCTCTTCCTCAGTTTCCATCTGGCGAGTGCACGTGCCCTCTGGAAAATTAAAAAACAAACAAACCAAAAACAACCCCAGTCATTATAAATCAGCACATTTTGCTTTATTTTTTTGAGAGGCTTTGTCTTAGGGTGTGTGTGCTTGGCAGAGACAGAGACAGTGAGAGGGAAAGTGAGAAATCACCTCCCAGGGGATAGCTATGCCATAATCCATTCTCTGTTCTCTTGCTGGGATCTTGGCCATGCATGCACACGCACCTGGTGTGAGTTTTAAGCCACCAGATCTGGAACTTGAACCACAGTCAGCCATATGGGAGTCCAGTGAAGTAACCACTATGCTGGTCCATAAATCAGCACTTCTTAAAATATCTCTCTTTGTATGTGTATATGTTGTTTTTCGTTTGTTTGTTTGTTTGTTTTTGAGAGATTTTTGCTATAGGGCAAGTGTGCTCATTGGACAGACAGACAGAAAGTGATAAATCACTCCCAGAACCAGCAGGTGGAATGGTGGTTAAGGTGCTGGACACTCCCACAAGGTGACCACAATTCAAGTCCCGGACCTGCCTGCTTGCTTTCTCACTTTCCTTTTTTTCTCTAGTCAAATTAAAAATAAATGAATGAATAAGAAAAATTTAAAAATTAAAAATAAAAAAGAAAGAAATCACTCCCAAGGGGGGATGACCACATCACAATCCTTTCTTTTCCATTCTCCTCTTGGGATTTTGGGCACGCATGCACATGTGCTTGGCGTGAGTTTCAAGCCACTTGGGTTCAGGACTGGAATTGCAGTCAACCACATGGGAGTCCAGTGCTTTAACCACTACACCACCTGCTGGCCCCCTTAAAACTTATATTTTTAAAAAAGAACTATTTATTTATTTAATTCCATTTGTTATTGTTATTATTTTTTTAATTTGGCCAGAGAGAGAGAGAGAAAGGGAAGGTGAGAAAGCTAGCTGCGAGGTCCGGAACTCGAACTGCGGTCAGCCATGTGGGAGTCCAACACCTTTAACCACCACACCGCGTGCTGGCCCTCTTAAAACATATTTCTAAGAACACTAATTCTCTGATTTATATGTGGGGACTTCAAAAAGCCTGTGGAAAAATGGAATTAAAGTATGAATTTTTTTTTGATGGAAAAACATTTTGAAATCCATGTTTATTTTTTTCTTAATGGTCATTTTCCATGAACTTTTTGAAAAACATGAATAAAATAGAGATTCAATAAGTTTCAGAAACACTGTATTCAACACTCCCTTAAGAGATTAAACAAGGCTCGCTGGCATTTTAAAACACTCCAAAAGCCCATCATAAATACAGTATTTAACTTTATTTAACCCGCTGTTTTCCAAACTCACATTACGCTTCACGAATCCCTCTTTCACATGAGGCTATTCACCGTACAGACTGTGTTTGGGAAACACTGTTTCAGCTCTGTTCGTAACTGCTTAGTGGATCGTGCTCGCATCCCCTGTCACCATTACCACCTTTTACTGAAATTGCCTCAGATGCCAAGGGCCAGTATTCTTTTACCTGGTAAGTGGTGTCATACCTTCGTGTCCTGCAGATCAGTCATACCTTCTGGAACCTAGAATACGAGAACAGTGGGGACATGAGTGTATATATACCTAGCACAAAATCGCCAGAAGCTGGTTCCACACTTTCTAGACTTTGCAGAGGAGACAATCAATGGTTAGAATGATCTATTCTCTTTAGCCTGACTGTTCTTTACACTAAAATGATGGGGAGTGGAGCTAGCCGGGAGGCTGGACAGACGGCAGGACCTGCCTACCCCGACAGCAGTACTGAACAGTAGGCAAGAAGTGCTGAGACAGTGAGACGCCACCACCCCCTTCCCAAACCAGCCTCGTTCGCTGGGAGGAGGAGGATCGCTTATTCTAGATACGTATCCCTAATTCTTTCACCTTTCTTCAGGTGATGGACATTTTAGGCTGTTTTTTACAAGGGTCTTCAAAAAGCTCACAGAAAATGGAATTAAAATACAAGTTCACTTGGGTGCAAAAACATTTTGAAATGCATGCATAGTTTCTCATAATATGCATCATCCATGAACGTTTTGAAGGCCCCACATAAATAGCTCTCATACACAGCCAGGGAATCTGACTTCCAGTTCAGTGCTCTTCCCACAACCCACAACAGGAGGAAGCGTGCTACCTTCCAATCCGCAGTGGTGACAGAGCAAGGGAAAGGCACACCCACCTTCAAGACCGTGAAGTTAGAGTACGAGGCAGCACTAAGGGCGGGGTCCGAGGTACAGCTACTTGCCAGGTTCTTGAAGAAACGAGTACAGCTTGTGCTTTTACTCTCTAGGAAACCTTAGAACACAATGAGTTGGGAGGGTACTAAATGAGGAAGTCTATTTCAAATTGAGCAAAAAGCATGGTACTTCTGCCCTGGACTCACCAGCAGGGTTGGTCTCCGCACAGAAACCCCCTGCTCCGACTCCCATAGGCTGTCTCAGCAAGCTTGTTACAGACCACTCAGGGAAGTACGTCAGGATGGGGTCCCCAGCCTGAATAAGATAGAGAAGAAATGCATTCACAGTGATAATGCATGGAACTACACCAGAAAAGGAAACGTAGAAACAGGGGGTAACGCAACATGTTTACATGGATAGTGCTGTCTGCCAGAAGAGCTGACAACGGTTATCTGGCTGCAGAGACATTGCAAATAGCCCTCACGGACTGTCTGCCAAAGGAGGAAAACCCCAACTGGACAATCTCATCCCTTCCCCAGACTCACCCTGTAAAAAGGTAGTAGTGACTGGGCCCGGGACACTGACGTGAATGGTTCACCTTCAAACTCTGCAGCCAGGGCCTGGAAGTTGGTTGCATTGACTGTTTGGAGCTTCTGGAAATGGTTTAATTTTGCTAAATTGTTTTTAAAAACAGGTTTCAATAAAAGAAAAGCATTTATTTTTAAATATCTGGCATGACAACTAATTTTTAAAAATATTTTTATTAGGACATAATATACAAAAAGTGTACAAATGTGCTAATCTCAAGTCTCAAGTATAAACTCAAAGAAGTTTTACAAATTTACATACTTACATTACTACCACCTAGATAAAATTATGGAACATTTCCCCAGAAGGAGCCTGATCAACACTCCATTCTGTGAGATCACAATTCTAACTTTTTAAAAAAGAATTCTTAATTTATTATTATTGTTTTAAAATTTTGCTATAGGGTACATGTGCTGACCAGAGAGAAAGTGAGAGGAAGTGAGAAAGCAAGCTGCCAGGCCTGGGTCTCGAACCAGGGTCAGCCATATAGGAGTCCAGTGCCTTTAACCACCACTCTTGCTGCTGGCCCCTACAATTCTGATCTCTACCACTTACTAATCTAGTCTTTTTTTAAAAAATTATTATTTATTTAATTTTATTTATTCATTTATTTTAATTTGACCAGAGAAAGAGAGAGAGAGAGAGAGAGAGAGAGAGAGAGAGAGGGACAAAGGAAGCCGCCAGGTCCAGGACTCGGATTGTGGTTGGCCATAGGGGAGTGTCCAGTACCTTAACCGCCATGCCACCTGCTGGTCCCCACTAATGTACGCTTTACCTGCTAACTGAATTCCCTCTTTACTATTAGCATCTGAGATAAGAACATGGTCAATGAAGGCCAGTCAGTTCCAGGTCTCTGATGGCTAAGAACGTAAATGGCTGTCAGTATGTCAAGAAAACAGGAAGCTCAGTAATGCTCATGTCTGCCCTGTGCCAATGAATCTCTGACATAACAAGACGGCAGTATTTCCAGAGGAACGTGGCAGTTGAAGACAGTATTAGCTCCATTCTCTCCAAGTCTTTGTTTCCACTAAACTTCAACTGACCTGTCCTAACAATAACGTTTCCATCTCTCAAGTCTATGGGTGCACTGGGTTTCATTCCTTTCACCTTATAATTCCTACATTCAGGCCAACAGATGGAGTGGTGGTTAAGGTGCTGAACTCCCTCATGGCTGACCACGGGTCAGGTCCTTGCTTTCTTACTTTCCCCCTCTACCTCTATCTGGTGAGCAGGCACAACTTGTAGCAAAAAAAAAAAAAAAAAAAAAAAAAAAAAAAAAGGATGATAAAAAAAAATAAATAAATATTCATATAAAAAAGGAATCTATTAAAAAAACATTAATAATAGTTTTACTTCAAGATTTGGGACATTCCAAAAGGGTATTTTCTGTAGCGATTCTATAATTTCTATTATAGCCATGTATAAATCTATCCAACACCTACAGCTCTCTCTGGCACTTCGGAACTAGGGAGAGCTGTAGGAAAAAAGGCCTGGGGCAGCCCCCTGCCCAGAGGGTGAGAGATGATAGAACAACATTGTCTGTTTTACCACTCTGAGTTCTGCGAACGTGAAAAAAAGAACAGAGCAAGGACCAGCAGTTAGTGTAATGGCTATGTCGCTGAACTCCCATGTAGCCGACCGTGGTTCGAGTCCTGGACCTGGTGGCTTAAACTCGCTGGGCGCGTGTGCGTGCGTGCCCAAGATCCTGAGAGGAGAATGGAGGAGAAGGGATTGTGGCGTGGCCACCCCCCCCCTCGGGGGGGGGTGATTTCTCGCTTTCTGTCTCTCTGTCTCTGTCTGGCAAGTGCACATGCCCTATAGCAAAAACCTCTCCAAAAAAAGAACAGAGCAAAACCACTCTTCGTGCTAGTTTCATTTTTCACATAGTCTTTCAGAGTCAAAAAGGTGACAAGACCTTCATCATTGGAAGCTAATGAAGAGTCCATGTTAAATAAGCTTGACCTTTATCCTCTATGATAACTGCTCAATTAGTTAACGTTTCAGCTTTCTAATACAGAATGAAATGATCATGGCTCTCAATTCTGGGGCCTTCAGACTGCAAATTATACATTTCCTAGATCCTTGCAGCCCTTGCACCGCCGTGGTTTCTGTCAGAAACGTACACTGTCAGGCCCCTCCCCAGATCGACAGTCAAACCCTGCCTGTTACGAACCTCCAGGGGGTGTGCACGCCCGTCAGAGCCTGTACAGCCCTGCTCTGTAACAGGAGATGGCCGACGCTGCTGATCTGCCCCCACCTTTCCACCTCTGAGCTGAATCTTCAAACTCAGAAGCTCCCAGGTGCTGTTTAACATTTCTTTCAGAATTCACACCTTGAAAACCACATACAGGGACCAGCAGATGGAGTAATGGTTACGTCCCTAGACTCCCACATAGTCGACCACGGTTTGAGTCCTGGACCCAGAGGTTTAAAAACTCGTGCCAGGCGCGTGTGCCCAAGATGCCGAGAGGAGAATGGAGAAGGGATCGCAGTGTGGCCATCCCCTCTGGGGAGTGACTTCTTGCTTTCTGTATCTCTCTTAATCTCCGGTGAGCGCATGCGCCCTGTAGCAAAAATCTCTCTCGAAAGAAAGAAAACCACAGGGAAAAGATATTTACCTCGAATAAAATGTAGTTATTTCCATCCTTATACGTGAAAGAAAAGTAAAGCTACGAAAGAAGATGAGCTGACATGGCAAACGTCCACCTGGTCATTTTTCCAACTGTGTCAATGAGTAAGAGAAAATGAACGTTTCGTCTCATCGTGGGCCACGGACACTGGCGGTAGTGGTGGTAAACAGCATAAGGCAGAGTAGTACGGACTAAGGAGAATAAGTAGAGTTTTTGCTAAAATAACTACCACCATACAGGATAATATTACACCTAACAGAATTTAAAGGTATTTACGCTTAGATTGATACAATTTCAGATGTGGAGGGAGGCTTAGGGACTAGCTGTTACAATCCCTTTAGGAAATCTGGATCCTCAGGGAAGTGTTGCAAAAGGCCACACAGCCAGGAGTAGCCAGGCAGGTCTTCTAATTCCTGGTCTCGCTTTTTCCCATTCCACCGTGCACCATGCTGTATAACCTGATCATTATCAGCAAATATTAAGCACTTTGGGCAAACAAAGATATTATCTACCTTTTCAAGGTGCTGACAATTTGATCGTGGACAACATGATCTTCACATGAACTGGTAACAATACGAAGAATCCTATAAATACCGAGGGAGTATTTCAAATAATAAGTGCCTTAGAACTTCTGAGGACGGGCTCACTTCTGACAGGGAAGCAAGAAAAGATGCATGGAAGAGCTAGAACTTTAAAATGCAAAGAAAAAAAGGAACACTTGAGTCAAGGAGAGAAGCAAACGCAAACGGGGGAAATGCAAGGCATGTCTTGGGGACAAAGAGTTGATGAGATTGGCCAAAGCAGAGGGTCAATGGGAAAAAAGCCTGAAAGTTAAGCTGGATCAAAAACCAGAACACCTTGACTGGCAGGCTACAGAAACGGGATGTTACTCTACACATACTGGAGTCAGAGGAGGTCAGCCACATTAATACAAAGAGTACTCTACCAAGGAATTCTTCATAGCTCTGTGTTGTATGTGTACAGTGAGGCAGGTAGGCAAATAAAAAGAACCCCACCCCCCCAAGAAAAGCCTTTTTATGCTAAACATGAATCCACTCCCCAGTCTCATTAAGGGAAAGTTCACTGATGTAAATATCCACTATTACCACTGGAAGTGGCCATATTTCTTGGGCATTGCTGGAGGAAGTAAGTTCAGATCCACTGCTCCAGAGGTAGTGTGCAGGAAGGTACTGGAGGCGGTGGTGAGGATTAAACGCAGAGAGCTACAGCTGGACACTACTGAAATAGCCCCGAAGCAGGGCCATAAGGCTGGATTTAGTAGGAAGTAAAATATTTGGAAAATAATGAATAGCCCTACCTTAAAGTGAAGTATTTACCCTCCTAGGACCTAAATGGCCACAGGCCTCCTAGTAATGGCTTCCAAATTCAAGACCCCCACCCAACCCAAAAACTGGTTATTTTTCAAGGCAAATACATTTTTATAATTTCTTTACTAAGAGAGAAAATCAGAATGAGGTGACTTTAAGGATGCAAGAAACATTTAAACCTATTATGTGTGAGAACGTTATTTTGCTTCATAGGCATTTGAAAAAGATGCACTAACTTCAAAACTTTAGAAATGTTATAACTACCATCAGCAAATTTCTAAATTCATTAAAAATCCCCCAGCAATGTGCCAGCAGGTGGTATAGTGGTTAAGGAGTTGGACTCCCACATGGCCAACCATGGTTTGCATCTCGGACCTGTTGGCTTGAAACTCACGCCAGGCAATGTATGTGTGTGTGCCCAAAATCCAGAGAGGAGAATGGAGGAAAAGGACCTGTGACATGGCCATCTCACCTAGGGGGACAGTTTCTTGTTTTCTTTCTCTCTGTCTGCCTGGGAAGCTCATGTGCCCTACAGCAAAAATCTCTCAAAAAAATAAATGAAAATCAAGCTGAGTGCCTGTGTATGTGTGCCCCAAATCTCAAGAGAATGTAGAGAAGGAAATCAGGAAAACAAATAGAGAGGCAAAACATTTATGGGACACAGAAATGGTTTATTACCTATTAATGATAACATGTATAGTCTTCTCAATTGGACTGGTCTGAGAAGTATTTCATGTTGGGTATATTCTCTTTACAAGCCAAATAATGTACAGTGATCAATTTTTTTTTTCAAATAATAGTAATTTAAAACTGAAAAAAATGAAAAGCTATTTGCTGCTGCTGCTGTGTATAGTAATGTTTTTGTCTTGACTGATATGCATGGTAATCATGCTGGAAAAAGAAATATTATACACTGTAAAGACATATGTGATTAAACGTAATATTAAAAAAATTTTTAAAAAAGAGGAGAATGGAGGAGATTGCAGTGTGGTCATCCCACCAGGGAGTGATTTCTCACTTTCCCTCTCTCTATCTCTCTTTAGCGAACACACATACCCAATAGCAAAAACAAACAAACAAAACCACAATAATAATCACCTCTCATCTTTATCACATCCCTGGGGAGTGATTTCTCTTTTCTGGCTCTCTGGCTCTCTCTTTCTGGTGAGTGCACGGGCCCTATAGCAAAAAACCTCTCCAAAATAAAAAGAGAGAGAGAATTTTCACATCCAGGGCCAGTGACATTACTTCTCACTTTACAGTTAGAAAAATAAGTCTGGAAATGCTAAGGCACTTGTCCAAGCCTGTACAGAGGGTCAGGAAATGGAGGATTGAGATCCTAGTGGAAAGCTCCTTCCCCTACACTCCCTACACTCTTGCCTCATGAAATAACAAAGGGTGTTGGCATAGACCCTTTTGTCAAAACATCCATTCAAGTATTATTTGGTGCCTCCTATGTGTCAGGCACTGGGGATTCAGGGACTATCCTGGGAAATTGTAGCAAGTGGGGGTTATAGCCTGTCTGCCACTATCTGAGCTAAGAGAGATGATTAAAAGGATGAAAACTGGGGCCAGCAGATAGTGTAGCAATTAAAATGTTGCTAGACTTCCACATGGCTGACCACGGTTCAAGTCCTAGGCCCAAGGGCTTGAAAATCACACAAGGCATGTGCGCGTACCCAAGATCCTGGGAAAAGAATAGAGGAGAAGGGATTGCGGCATGGCCATCCCACCTGGAGGGGTGATTTCTCACTTTTCCTCTCACTGTGTCTGTCTTTCTGTCTCTAGCAAGTGCATGTGCCCTAAGGGAAAAACCTCTTTAAAAAAAAAAATTAAAGTTTTGGGAACCAGCAGTTAGCATAATGGCTATGTCGCTGGACTCCCACGTAGTCGACCGTGGTTTGCGTCCCAGACTCGGTGGCTTAAAACTCACGCCGGGCGCGTGTGCGTGCGTGCCCAAGATCCTGAGAGGAGAATGGAGGAGAAGGGATTGCAGCGTAGCCATCCCCCCTGGGGGGTGATTTCTTGCTTTCTATCTCTATGTCTCTGTCTGTCTGGAGAGCCCATGCGCCCTATAGCGAAAACCTTCTCCAAAAAAAAAAAAATTAAAGTTTTGTATGAATTTTCTGATCCACAACCAAAAGGGCAATAGCAAGGCCTATTCTCAATTAATATTGGACAGTGAGAACAGCCACCATCTTGTCTACTCACAGTCATTCACACGAACACAAAACTGTGGAACTCCATCTGAATCTGTAAAAACTCTTGAAGGAAATGGAGAATTACTCCTGAAGATTAGAGAGCTGTCTACACACACCCAGCTTGAAGACCTGTGAGAAAAGAGAAGATACATTTAAGACTCTGTGGAAAAGTAGGTCTAAAGAAGGTTGCTCCACGATACCAGCCAGATGCCAAAGCCAGGACCCCTTGGGCAGCTATAGACAACAGCAGGTCCCATTCTACCGGACAGCCTGCCTAGAAAATCCGAAAAGGCAGGCCGCCGCTGGGCAAGGCCAAGGGGACGTCCTGAGTAGGAGTGGGCGCAGGAGGCAGGAGCTCACTCTCCTTACTTCCACATAGTAGCCGTCCTCGGCCCCCATGCCCTTTGGGGTTCAGCCTGGGCCCAACAGCAGCTCTGCAGCTCACCTTACGCTGCCAGGAAGACAGAAGGAGAAAACGGTCCGTGGATGGAGAAGACCGCAGTCCCTATCGCAGCAGCAATTGATGTCGCACGCACCAGGAGTCAAGTCACAGACACAGATCGGCAAGGCTGGGAGGTACAACACAAGGCAGAGCGGAGTATGAGGACCCCCAAACTCCTCTCTGAGCCCCCCCTCCGACGGCCCGCTCCTCGTTCTGCGGCAAGCCCGGTGCACAGAACTTCGCGGCGGACGCCCTCCCGCCTCACCTGGGAAGAGGTCCGCTGTGCCGTTCTCAGGCGCCGCGAGGGTAGGGCCCCCCGCAGACGGCCCGGGCACGGCCCGGGGGGTGGCAGTGCCCTCCGAGGGTCGGAGGGTCCCGCCCGGCGTCCCTGGCCCCAGGTCCGGAGAGGTGGGCATGGCCCCCGTGGGGGTCGAGGAGGCCTGCGACCCGGCTCCCTCCGGCAGTGTCCACAAGAACACCGGCAGCAGCACGAACGGCGGGGCGCACATGGCGTACGGCAGACCCAGCGGTCCGCGCTAGGCTTCAGGGTCTCCAGACGCGTTGCTAGAGCCGGGGTGGGAGGAGTCGCGCAGTGTCTGACGTCACCCGCACGCCTCTGCTCATTGGCTCATGGCGCCAGCCGGGGGCTCTTCAGCCAATAGAAAGTGCGTTTGTCACCGCCCTCCCAGCATCCTTCCGGGTGCGCCCTCCGCCTTCGGCAGCTGTGCGCCCGGCACAGCCTTGGTCGCCTGGCAACCGCGCGCGCCGAGGAGCCTCGCGCCTTCTCCCCGCTAGATGGCAGTAGGCGCTCGGCGCTGCGACCCCGGCCGCGGAGTAGGGCGCAAGCCTCGCGCGCCCAGCGCTGGGCCCTTCCGCAACCGCCGCGAGCCCCGGAGGCGGGGCCTGGGATGGCGTGTCTCCACCCGGGATCCCGACGGTGAGAACCCCTGTCCATGGAATCATAATGCTGGGGGTGGGGGGTGGAGAGGGGAGGACACCGAAGGTCGCACACCCTGAAAAAAGTCTCCTTTAAATAGAGTCTGGTCATTTTTTAAAAAAAAACATTAAAAATATTCTTCATTCAGCTTCTTGCATTTTAACGATGAGAAAATAATAAAAAAAAAAAAACCTTAATAAATACATTAATTCATTAAAGTTGAACTGTATATCTGTTGCTAAAGTGAGAAGAAGGGGGTTAGGAATAAAAAAGCAAGGTAGGGGAACATGTGGGAAGATGGGAAGAGTAAAAACGGACAAATGAGATGAGAAAAGAAAATGCAGGAGTGGAAGTAGTCAAGGGATGAAGAAGAAAGCTCATCTTTGTCCTTATCTTCGCCTGTCTCACCCTCTGTAAGGGGTGCTTGCTTTTCCCAGGCGTGGTGTGCGGGCTCTGGCTGTCAGAACTTCGGTGTCGGAAATGATCTGTGTCTACGCTGCTCTGTGGCGGCCACAGGCCACATGGGCGATTGCACACCACAGGGGTGGCTCGTGTGACTGAGGAGCTGAATTTAAAATGTTCGAACTTTAATTCATTCACGGTTAAATAACCACAGAGGACTAGTAGCCACTATATTGGACGGGAGGACTCCAGGTGACCAAATCCCCCTCTTGCTAGACCCATGGCTTCCTGTCTCCTTAGCACATTCCTTTTCCCTTCCCTTCCCTTCCCTTCCCTTCCCTTCCCTTCCCTTTCCTTCCTTCCCTCCTTCCCCCCTTCCTTCCTTCCTTCCTTCCTTCCTTCCTTCCTTCCTTCTTTTCTGTATTTATTTGCTAAAGGAGACATGCTGCCAGAGACAGAGAGAGACAGTGAGAAAGAAACTCCCCAAGGCTCCCCCTCCATATCTTAAATCCTCCTTTTGGGATTTTGGTGTGCATTTGCCCCTCCCACCCTGGCTCCCCTCTCTGCATTTCTGACCTGTGGATTATTTCAATTGTTTGGTTTGGGGATATAAACTAAGATCTGTTAAGAGTAATCTAAAATCTAGTACACTTAAATACAAGATCTAGCCAGTATCTCCCATCCTCAATGAACCACTTAGATCAATGTAAGGACACTTGATTTTTCTCATACTCTCTGAGATCTTGATTTACTGATGTTTTGAAGCCAGTACCTAATGTATCTCTGTGTTGCCAGTATTATCAAACATAAGTCTATATGATTGGGCGATAGATTTCTTTGACAGATAAGCATATTTGTTTGATCTTAAAACATCCTTATTAGTAATTTCTGTAGGAAAGGCTAAGTCCAGATGATTCAAATTATATGTATTTACTAAAATATAAACTCCATAAAATCAAGGAGTGCTGTCTGTTTTGTTCACTGGTCTATCCCTATGTCCAGAACAATGCCTTGGATATGTTAGAAGTACATTAAATGTTTTTTAAAATGTGAAAATCTTCAAAAAGTTACTGGAAAATATGTATTATGTAAAAACTGCTTATGGATTTTTAAATTGTTTTGCAACAAATAAACTTGTACTTTAATTCCCTTTTTCCAAGAACTTTTTGAAGTTTCCTTGTATATCGAAAATTGTTTTGTCAGGGCTGGCAGGTGGCATGGTGGTTAAGGGCACTGAACTCCCACAGGGCCAACTGCTGTCCTAGTCCTGGACCTGGCAGCTTGTTTTCTCACTTTCTCTCTCGCTCTCCCACTCTGACCCTCTGGTCAAATTAAACATATAAATAAAGTTAGATAATATAATTCTTAAAAATTGTTTTGTCGAACTCTTTAGATTTAATTTATGATAGCTATAGCTTTGTAGGATTGTGTTTCTATCAATACAATTTCTATTGCATATTGATCAAAGACTTTTAGATTTCAACGTTTAGAATTGAAACTTCAACTCTCAATCAGTGTTGTCATTATCGAAGTTACTAATGTTGGCAGAGTCTGCTGAAGTAACTTCAGGGTTGTACGATAAAGAAATCTTTCTGAGTTGCTTTTTCTTAGTTTTGAATTTTAACACTGAATTTTCTTAGAAAAGTTAATTTTTTCTTTTGTTATAGTTGAGCAAAAAGATGAATTGTATTATTACTGTTATGTTGTAAGAATCTCTGTAGCACCGAACTTTTAATTCTTTTGAGATTTAATATCAAAATCTAAAAGATGGTTTTGAGGAAGGAGAGTTAAATTTATTCACATGTGTCATGCAGATGCCAGCTTCAACATGGAAACCAAGCTTTAAATTGAGATAGTTTAGCATGACATCACCTCAGAAGCAGAGATTTCCAAATTAGATCCTATGATACTGGCAGATAGATGTCTCTGTTTGTGATTAAGAGTTCAATATGTGATTGCAAATTTAGCTAGGAGATTGGATCAAGATGGCAGGCTGAGAACAAGTTTTAGCCTCTCTCTTCCCCTTTCCCAACTCTCTAAAAGTTACAGAAAAGTTAAATGAATACACACACACCTGTGAATATACCCTGATATTAAAAAACATGAAGGGGTGCATTCAATGGACCAGGTATGACAACCTTTAAAAAATAGAAGGCAGATGGGATTGGATTGAAAATGGACAAACTTATACAGAAGTGAAGTCATTCTTGGGGTTGCTCTTTGTGCACACAGAAAGAAGCTATTTGTATCAGCAGGGATCCTTAGATGCTTGTCTGAGTTCCGACTGAGAAAGGGCTGTAGAAAGAGCCGGGTAGGTCAGCCTTTCACACTGATTCGTTTGTGCATGCCGTGGGGGTAACTGAAGAATTGTTCCAGACTGCCCCTGGGAAAAAAAATTGTTCATGTAGGCACCTTTGCTGAAATGCCCTGGCCCGAGGGCGAAGTGATAGGGTACCAGAGGGGAAATGAGCGAAAGGATTGAGAAAGGGTTGGCAAAGGAAGCAGGGGTTAGGCAGGCCCAGTGCTGTGCTCATTCTTTCAGAGGGAAGGCAACGACGTTGCTTCAGCTGTGCAGCGCCTCGTGGTTCGCAAGCCTCTCCTGGCCTTACTGCTAGTTTCCATCTGACCCAGTCAGGCAACTGGATCCAGCTGTTAATAGAAGCTCAGTAATGTTTTAGCCAAAACTCTATTTTACCAGTTGAAACTTGTGTACTTTATCTGCTGTTGTGGTCCGATCTTTCCATTTAAATTCTGGAAAATAACATGCAACTCTGGACTTCTCCCTACCATTAGGCTGGCCATTTTCTTACTTGTTTTAGAACTCTTATTTCTGTGTGTCTGACTTCAGTTTTCCTGGGATAGCACTCCCCTCAGAACTTCTTGGAGAGCTGGTCTGGTGTTGGTTAATTCTTTCAGGTTTTGTTTATCTGAGAATATTCTTGTCTTCTCTTCCCATATGAAGGATAATCTTGCCAGATATAGTATTCTTGGTTGAAATTGTTTTTCACTCAACACTGTGAATATATTTTCCCATTCTTTCCTTGCTCACATTGTTTCCGATGAGAGGTCCACTGTTAGGATATCCTTTGACATTTCTCTCTTGCCAGTCTGAGTATCTTGTCTTTGTCTGTGGTTTTGGTTGTTCTGGCTATAATGTGTCTTGGAGAAGATCTTCTTGGGTTGATCCTACATAGGATCCTTTGTATTTCTTGAGTTTGGATCTTTGAGTGCCTCTCTGTCTTTGGAAAGTTTTCTTCCAGGATTTCTTGGGATAGATTGTCAATGCCCTCTTAGTCTCTTTACCTTCTGGGATACCAATTATCCGGATGTTTGGATATTTAATGGTGCCTAGTATTTCTCGTATATTATGCTCATTTTGGAGGGGGCTATTTTCTCAGTCTTCATGGTGGATTTTACTAGTTCTGCATTTCTGTCTTCTACATCTGAGATTCAATTTTCTGTATGATCTAGTCTGCTTTTAATACTTTCAAAGGAGGTTTTGACTTCCTGTATTATAGCCTCCATATCCAACAGTTCCATTTGATTATTTTTTTATGGTGTATATTTCCTCTTTCAGCTCTTGCAAGAAATTCCTCACCTCCTGGAACTCATCAGCTTTTTTCTTCTGTTGTTCATTGTCTCTCTTCTCTTCCATCTCTGTTAGCTTTGTCACTTTGAATACTCTAAATTCTTTATCAGACATTTCCATGAGTTCCATTGTACTGTCTGTGGATGAAAAAGAGTTATTTTTTTCCTTTGGGGGAGAGGTATTTTCTTGGCTTCGCATATTTCTTGTGCCCCTGTGGTGATTTGTAGTCATCTCATGGGTTATTCATTTCTTCCTAATTTCTAGAAGATCATTCTGAGCGATCAGAGGTGCACAGGAGGATGTGGTCTGCAAACTCTTTGGCATTGCGTTTTTTTCCCTTTGTGTTGCAGATTCAGTGGGAGTTGATGAATGTGAGGACCCAAATAGTATTCGGATTTTGGCAACTTTTCGCTTAGATCTGTCTAGACACTCAGTCCATGGAGGCAGGGTAAATTCTCAGCAGAACATCTTCATTGTTCTTATATCTGAGATCGCTAGATCTCAGCTCTCCTAGGGACTCCTCGAGATTAGAATTCTATACTTAGTAAAACTATCGTTCAAGTGTGGCTGCTAAATAAACACATTTTAAAACACACACACTCAAGTTTTATCACCCACAAGTATATATATATGAAAGAATAACTAAAGGATGTCTTCCAAGTCTGCACCTTCAGCCTCATTAAAAAACAAAATCAAAGAAGGAAGTGTGGAATAAAAGAAGCAGTGATGAACAGAGAAAGCTTAGAAGATGAGACTACTCATGTCGGTACTTTTTTTTGGCGTCAACACATGGGGCAGATACAGACACGGACTGTCATAGTGTGAATAACGTGTGTTGTAGCAGAGAAGCCTCAATATCTCAGGTGAGGTTCCTTACACATACCACAAGAGTCCAGCGAGGGTCAGTGTGTGATTCTGCTCCGTGAAGTCATTTAGTGTCTCAGGCTGTTTACATCAAGTGACTTCGTGATCCTCCAGGGCCTTGGACGAAGCTACACATCTCTTAGTG